ATAATAAATTATATTATTTATTACATAATATATTAATATTTTATATATTATATTATATTTACTATACAATATGTTATTATAATAATATTATTATATTGTTATGTTATTATTAAATATGTTACTAATATATAATCGTTTTATAATTATTAATTTATTATAAGTTATATATTAAAAAGTTATTAATATTATAGCGATTATACTATTATATAGTATATTATTATATCATTATTATATTATTATTTATTATCAATAACTTTTTATTATTTTTATTAGTTTATTTATATCTTATTATTATTTATTATATAATACATTATTAACATATTAAATATTAGTATTTAATATGTTATTATTTTAATATTTAAGATATTTTATTTATTATATTTTTATATTATTTAATAAATATTACTAATATATTAAATTAACTATAATATAGTAAAGTATAGTATAATATGTAGGATCTGTAATAGATACACTAGAACACTAGAGGGGGGTGAATAGTATTCTTTTAAAATTTATGCAAAGTAGATAATAAATTACAATAAAGAATGACAACAATCTCAAAAAATCGCAATCACAAACAATAGATTTTATACTGGTTCCACCAATCTGGTATACATTCAGTCCCCAAGCAAATCCCGCTTAAGATTTCTACTATAATTTTGAATCAAGTATAAAATTAAAACCAAACCTGATCAATTTGTAAGTCCCTCTAAATTACAACACCAATTGACAACACCTTGCCAATTACACACCAATCTCTAGACCAAGAGATCAACCTCTATCAAACCGAGAGAACTTTCCTTGAATCAAACAACTCAATTCCTATAAGCCTTGATTTGTAGTGTTGTGTACAAACAACTCAATTCCTATAAGCCTTGATTTGTAGTGTTGTGTAGCAGTGGCTTAGGAATAATTTTAACTTCTGGAAATTAATTCCTATAAGCCTTGATTTGTAGTGTTGTGTAGCAGTGGCTTAGGAATAATTTTAACTTCTGGAAATTACCTAAATAATTTGTATTTTGAATGATGATCAAAGGCAATTTCAAAAAAGATCTTTTTCTTAATACTTAGCAAAATCTGAATTTTTAACTCTTGAAAAATGCACAAAAATTGATGCTTATAGGTAGATAATTATGTGCCATTTTTCTGAACATATAACTTTTATATAGCCCTTGAAAAGACAAATTTTTAAACTTTAAAAACGTTTAAAAACGGCTATAAACTTCACTAATTCAAACTTTGAATTCTGGAAAAACTGTATCTGTAGTCGACTACAGGACAAAGTAGTCGACTACACTGAGTCTCAACAGACTTTGTGAAGTCAAAAAATTTCTTAGTAGTAGACTATAATGGTCATTAGTCGACTATACTGTAATTAGACATAAACTTGACAGAAACTTAAAAAAACAGATTTTACCTTTAGTAGTTGATTATAAAGTCAATTAGTCGACTACACTGTAAAATAACAGAAACTTAACAGAAACTTGAGAAATTGTTTTTGCCTCTTGTAGTCGACTATAAAGTATATTAGTCGACTACACTGTAAATTGACAAAAACTTATATTTCAGTCATAGGCTTGTGTAGTCGACTAGCTTGAGTAGTCGACTACTATTCTAGTCGACTACTATTCTAATTAGTCGACTATTAAGGGATAAAAATAATATGAATTAAATGTTTTGACAATCAATTATTAACTATAAACTCTAATGGTTAACATAGGAGATTTCTATAGTTAACCAACACACTAAGCATGTGTTAGTGTGTTCTAGTTTCTATGTGTGTGTGTGTGAGTGATCAAGGCTTGTACAATAATTCTAAGTAAAAAAATATAAAAAATTACATTAATGTATAAGTTCTTCATATTCTTTACTTTATAATGCCTTGAACTCATCTTGTACTTGTTCATATTTAATGTTGAAAGCTACATATAAATGTTAGTGCATTTGTATAACACACATAGTATAAATTGTTATCATCAAAATAATATCGTGGAGACATGATATTCAACATTCTTCCCCTTTTTGATGATGACAAACAATTTATGCATATGTAAGTATATTCTAAAAGAATTAGAACATTTGGAAACAAATATACTTACTCCCCCCTGCATAAATGCATATTAGAGTCTATAATATTAACATGAGTCTATAACATTTATACCACTTCTCCCCTTTTGTCATTAACAAAAAGAAATAAACACTTATGCTAAACATGCCATAATTTTTTCAACATGAGCCAATACTTCAAACAGATCATCCAGATTATGAACATAGTCCATAACTTTACTCATCCAAATAGGTAGGTAAAGACTTGCCATAAAGACCAAAAGTTTCACAATGTTCATCACCATAATCTGTTTAAAATATATAGCACATGAATTAAATATCTAAACACCATAAAAGCAACATAAAATCCAGTCACATAAAACATACTAATGTTGAAATAACATAGTAGCAACATATTACACATGTCTTAAAAAACAGATAACTATCACATAGTTTGTAACAATTAAACTTAAACATACCAAAATAAGACATAATTGTTTTGATAACAAACATAAAGTTCATTCAAATACTAAATGATGCATTCATGGTCTTCTAAGATGAAGGTTCTGGAGGAGGTTGATTTCCTTGAAAATATGCATTGAGCTTCATATCCAAGTTATCAAATTTCTTCGTTAACTCCTCCTGATTACTGATGATGTAACTATTCTGAGAATAAAGAGCTCGCTGACCAGCCTCTAACTCAAGGATGCGTGCAGACAAGGTGTTATATTGCACATCCGAGAAGCAAGAGGGTTCTGAGTGCATTTGTGGTGGTTGTTGGCTAGAAGAAGTGCCTGCTTGACTTGAGATTTGAGGAATTTCTTGTGGAATTTGTTCTTGATGAGGGTGAGGTTCATCTTGAGGATTTTGATCATGAATTTCAAAATTAGTTAATTTCATCCTAGTTAGGGCATTAGAGTCAAAGAACTCAATGGAACGAACGACATAATTTTCAGACTTAAAATCAACATGAAATTTATCAAAGATTTTCGTTAAAAAGGCACCATAAGGAAGAAATCCTTTTGATATTGTCAGAAGATTGTCATAATAAACTTCAGCCCAATTAACTGGCACCATAAGGAAGAAATCCTTTTGATATTGTCAGAAGATTGTCATAATAAACTTCAGCCCAATTAACTTGGATATTCCCCATTATAGCATATAATGCAGCCCAATTAACTTGGATATTCCCCATTATAGCATATAATGCTTTTGCTAAATCTAGGAAAATAAAATGAAAACTCCCAGTTTTTGGAAACAAGTTATAAGCTAAGATTCGAGCAATGAAACGAGGAATTAGACAAAGCTTATTCGAATTATTCAATGGTTTACCATAACCCGGAAGAAAAATATGATTGGATAGTAAATCTGAATCATTCATTCTGATTGACCTAAGAGAGACTCCTCAGAAAGGAATGTTAAAATTTTTTCCAATTAACTTAGAAGTCAATTCAATTTCTATTCCTTTGATAAGAGTTTTTAGCTTTTCAGTTCCACTTATAGTTCCTACACGTTCTATATTAGTAAAGAACAGTTGAATTAAAAATGGATATGTGGGTTTTCTGTTTTTAATAGAGAATAATTCAAGCAACCCCACATTTTCAAAGTATGATCAAAAATTTCATGGGATAAAATCATCAAATTTCATAAATCGTCCTGGAAGAACTTTAAATATGGATATTTTGTTAAATTCTTCAAGTAAATCAGGACTTTTTAAATATATGATGATTTCATCATTGACATTAGAATGAACTTGCTTAGATTTCTTAGCCCTAGACATGATAACAACAATAAATGAAACTTGGAGAAAAAGAAAAATTGGTTGAAGATCTTACCCAACAGATAAAACCCTAGATGTAGTCGGCTAAAAGAGGCTGTAGTCGACTACAAGATCTGACAAAGACTTAGAAACAAGAAAATATTGAAAAAGATTTGGAGAAAGATGTTGATTTGAAGAAACCCTAGAATGGAGAACGTGGGTTCTGAAGTGGGGAAAGAGATGAATCGGTTTTTTAGGAGAGGAGTTAGGGTGGTTTTGTTGTAAGGTAAAAAATTGAATGGTCATGATTAGATGAGAAAACAAATATGTGGTTAAAATTTGATCTAGATGAAATATGATATAGGGCTATGATTTGATCAGATAGATATTGAATGGTTGAGAAAAAATTTTCTTAAGTAAAACGGATATTGGGTTGTGGGTTTGATAGGTAAAGGTCTAAAATACTT